CAACAGGTAAATACTGCTGTAGGTTCCTAGCAGAGATTTAGAAGTCAGCTCTGTTTATCAGCTAATGGGGACAGATGCCAAGCCTTTTACTGTCAGTGCCAGGATGTGGTGGCAGGAGTCTAATCCACAACATGCTGCTCACGATATTGCCAAGGCAATTAAATAGAGCTTAGCTACTACCCCAAATCCCAGCAGGTGGATTTCATAAAAGGAGCACTAGTATTTCCCTGTCACAGCAACAGGAGACAACCACGTTCTCCCAGAAGCAGAAAAGAGTAGTTTTCAGTGGACTTCTGTATTCCTCCCATGAGCAGCTAACAAATAAGGATAACTTTCACCAATGTTAGCCTCAAACCCTTACAATTTGCTATATCTTTTTTAAAATCAATTAATTTATTTTTATTTGAGAAATGTATATTCATATTTCCAACATAAAAGCCCTCCAAACAGCCATTTGAAACAGCAGGAGGATAATTAAGATGCAGTTAACAACATTCTGGGCTATTAGAAGTTGTTAGAGTCTATGAGTGTGATTTTTACATCTTCATAAAACTGATCATAAATACAGTCATTAACCTAGCTTCCCAAACAGCTCTTTTTATTAAAAAAAAAATTACATTGCAATGTGTTATATTACTGTATGTCATAATTTATATAGTTCTCAGAACCTTGAACTACTTTGTTCCCAGGCAAAGAGGCTGGGAATAATGAGAATAGTTGGAAGATGTGCGGAGAAGTCAAATGAGGTAAAATAATAAGGTTTTGACAGGTAGCTTTATCCAGACTGAATTCAGATGTTTATCCTGGGCATCATCCACATACAAATGTACACACTGCTTCAAGTAATGCAGCAAGCTGCTTCCTTTCTAAACTTCTCCTCTTTCCTGGCTGTAGAGAGGCCTGTTGTCAACTCATCTATGTCTGCATCCACATGGCAGAAATAATCCAGTTTGACACCACTTTAACTGCCATGGCTCAATGCTATTGTATTCTGGGAATTGTAGTTTTGTCAGAGATTTAGCCACAGAGTTCTGGTGTCACAACAAACTACAATTCCAAGAATTCCACAGCATTGAGTCATGGCAGTTAAAGTGGTGTCAAACTGGTTTATTTCTGCAGTGTGGATGCAGATTATGTTTGGATCCTCCTCAGCCTGTGTTTTTCCCCAGTTCTGAAGGAAGAATGGAATTAGAATCACATTTGTGAGTGCTTTGAGAAAGCACTCATCCACCATTTCAAATTTCAGAACTGGGGAGCATTAGGATTGGCAGCCATAAAGAAACTGTCCCTTCCCCTAAAATACTCAGGAGCTGAAGTGAGACACAAGATGAAGGTCCACTTTTCAAGACAGATCTTCAAAATGGTGTTGTAATCCTGTAACAGAAGTTAAGTAGGTCTAAGCCTAGTAATTCTGTGATGGGAGGCCACCTGCAAACTCATGTTTTGCTGCTCTGAGCTAGTGGTGTCACTATCCTATGCTGTCACCCAGTGGCGTCACAACCCTTGGTGTCATCCCGTGCAGGGGGAACATGCTCAACTTTCCTCATTGCTGCAGCCCCATTCGCTTCATGAAGAGAACAGTTGTGACACAGAGGTTTCAGCCTTCCTCGTTTCCATTTTTATGAGGAGAATGGGGCCGCAGCAAGAAGATGCATGGAGGGCAACTAAGTGTCACACCTCTTGTGGAGTGTCACCTGGTATGGGCCGCACCCTCCGTACCCCTAATGACGGTACTGGCGTCACCTTGTGAGGAGGGCTGCTGGGTGGGTGGAGGGCTGCTGTGGGGGGGATGTTTGAAGGGTTACCCCATCCCCTCCCACAACTTGCTCACATGCACCCCCCTCCCTGTCCAGCGGACTCCCTCCCCACCAATTGTCAGGCTGCAGTGGACTCCCTTGCCTCCCCTTCCCAGCCACTGCTTCACCCTCTTACCCAGCTGCAGGGAAAAAGTCTGGTGACAGAGTAGCTGAGAAAGGTATGCATTCACCCCTCTTTCTCCTTTGTCATCAGGCTTCCTCCCCAGGGAGAGAACCCCACAATGGAGCAGCCAGGAAGGGTGCGCATTCACCTCTTCTGCTCCAGAGGAGGAGGAGGGTCCAACCAGGTGTCACCCGTCTTCTGGGATGTCACCCGGTGCAGTCTGCATCCCCCACACACCCTTGATGATGCTACTGCTCTGAGCTTCTTGGAAAGAGAGTGGAATAAGACCATAACAAGCTGGCTCCTATATTAGGTAGCAGTGTGGTCATGACTTGCAATTGAATTACAATCTAGCCCCAAATATGCCACCAGCACCTCTTATCTTTTTCTTCTCTAATTTAAAGTTTTTGCTGACAGAAAGAGGATGGAGGAAGGACACAGGGAAAACTAAAGCAGAGAAGAAGAGTACAATGGGCCCTTGTTATTCGTTGGGGTTTGGTTCCAGGAACCTCCGTGGATACCAAAATCCGTGGATGTTCAAGCCCCATTAATACAGTGGATAGTAAAATGGTGACCTTTATAGAAAATGGCAAAATCAAGATTGTTAAGCTGTGATAGAAATATAGATAGATAGATAGATAGATAGATAGATAGATAGATAGATAGATAGATAGATAGATTTTTATTTGTAACCCGCCCCTCTGCAAAGCAACCGGGGCAGCATACAGCAAATTAAAAACAATACAAGCAGTAAAGAATCCATGGATATGGAGGGCTGATATAGATATATATTCTGCTGTCTGTAGGTACAAAGATAAAGATAAAGGTATTCCCCATTGATAAGGTTGTCAAGTCATGTCTGACTGTAGGGGGTGGTGCTCAGGCCACTCCTGAAAAAACCTTCCCTGGACCCCCTGGACAGAAATAACTACGGACCAGTCTCCTTGCTTCCTTTTTTAAGCAAGGTAATCGAGAGGGCAGTCGCTTCCCAGCTCCACGCAGTCTTGGATGAAACCGATTATCTTGATCCATTTCAAACCGGCTTCAGGACAGGATATGGAGTTGAGACTGCCATGGTTGCTCTGACCGATGACCTCCGCCTGGGCATCGACAGGGGTAGTGTGACCCTGCTGGTGCTCTTGGATCTCTCAGCAGCCTTTGATACAATAGATCACTCCATCCTCTTGAATCGCCTGAGAGAGTTAGGAATTGGAGGCACCGCTTTGCGGTGGTTCCGTTTCTTCCTCTCCGGCAGATCCCAGAGGGTGAGGCTCGGGGACAGTTGCTCTTCCAAAAGCGAGCTTAATTGTGGCGTTCCTCAGGGCGCCATCCTGTCCCCGATGCTATTTAATATTTATATGAAGCCGCTGGGGGAGATCATTCGGAGGCATGGAGCGTGGTGTCTTCAGTATGCTGATGACACCCAGATATACTTCTCTATGACTAGACCATCGACTCAGACTTCAGATGGAGTCTCTCCTCTTAATGACTGTCTAAGAGCGGTAATGGATTGGATGAGGGAAAACAGATTGAAACTAAATCTGGACAAAATGGAGGTAATGAGAGTCACAGGCCCGAAACCAGTTTTGGCAATACAGTCTCCAGTCCTGGATGGAGTCACACTCTCCTCTGTGTTTGCAGCTTGGGGGTACTCCTAGATTCATCACATAACTAGTCAGGTGAATGCGGTGGTCAGGAGTGCCTGTTATCAGCTTTGGCTGATACGCCAACTGTGCCCTTACCTAGATATGAGGGATCTGGAAACTGTGGTACATGCTCTGGTAACCTCACGTCTGGATTTTTGCAATGCACTCATGGGGCTACCCTTGTGCTTAACCCAGAAACTGCAATTAGTACAAAACATGGCAGCCAGATTAATTACTGGAACATCTCAGAGGGAGCACATAACACCTGTGCTTAAATCCCTCCACTGGCTGCCGATTAGTTTCTGAGCACAGTACAAGGTGTTGGTGTTAACCTTTAAAGCCCTACATGGCTTAGGGTGGGAGGATGGAATGTTTTTACATGCTGTATTTTTAATTTGTTGTACGCTGCCTCGATTGCCGAGCAGAGGGGCGGGTTATAAATAAAACTTCTTATTCTTATTCTTATTATCTCCATTACTAAGCCAAAGAGCTAGCGTTGTCAGAGACTACTCTGTGATCGTGTGGCCAATATGATTGCACAGAATTTTGTTTACCTTCCCACCAAAGTGGTACCTATTTATCTACTTGCAATTGCATGCTTTCGAACTGCTAGGTTGGCAAAAGCTGGGACTAGTGACAGGAGTTCACCCCATCATGCAGCACCAGGACCTCGAACTGCCAACCTTGCAGTCAACAGAGTCAGTAGGTATAGAGTCCAGAAAATATTTAAAGTGTTTCCTCCCAGAACTTGCGTTCAAGGTGTGTCTATCAGAAAAGGATGAACATTTAAAGATTTGAACTTGCTCCCCCCTCAGTCACTCACCTTCATCCTCTTCAGGAAGATCTCAGGAGGTTGTGGCTGGGCTGCTTTCCGATACTCCTGGGTGTAGTCACTCCTGCATTTGCTTCTGACATTGCCATAGAAACCGTTAGCATGCTGGAGGAAGACAGGCAATAGGGAGCCCCTAATTAGCAATTGAGCACTATAATCCGGCCGCCTCTCCAAACTTGCTGGTTAGCTTGATGGGGTCAGTGAAGGTCACACCTTGCTTCTGACAATGAAGGAAGCGTGGTGCAGGGATGCATTATTATTTTTATTACTGACAAGGAAAACAGCTCTTCAAGCTGGACCAAGCAGACAAGCAAATCTCTGAAGATGTTCACCTGCTACCCACCAGAAACAAGAAGCCTTCATTTGTGAGAATCAGAACTGTTTCAACACAGTCCTCCAGACTCACATTGTCCTTCTGTCTGAACTTATCCCTGCCTTGGCTGACAGAGAACGATCAGCCAGCCTGCCTTCAACCCTTTGAAAGCTGCCTTCTTGTGCTCACAGAACTTGGAAAAGTTACTGTTCTGGACTACAGCTCCCAGAATCTCCCAGCCAGCATGGACATAGACATAAGTCATAGTGGCTGGTGGGTTCTGGGTCCTGTAGTGGCACAGTGGTTTGAGTATTAGACTGTAACTCTGGAGACCAGGGTTCGATTCCCCGCTCGACATGAAACCCATTGGTTGACCTTGGACAAGTCATACGGTCTTGGACTCAGAAGAAGGCAATGGCATCCTGCCTCTGAAGAAACCTCCCAAGAAAGCCCCATGGCCTTAGGGTCATCATAAATTGGAAATGACTTGAAGGAACACAACAGCAACAGCCTCCAAAGTAAGTTTTCCAATTCTTGACAGTCCTGCCAGAAATGGTATTTCTCACCTCAATGCATCCTTATATTTGCTTGTTAGTGCACTATAGTATCCAATGATCAGTAAAAGCCACAGTTTACCTAAACCATGCTATGAGATTAAGCTATATGGAGGGCAGGACTGAGCATACTCTGATATTTGTAAAGTTCAAAATTCTATAATAACCATAATTTGGTAGTGACATAGAAAAAGAACAATAATTTTGTACTGGAAAAAAACTTTTCTGCAACAATTGTACATTATGTAACATAAGCAGATTTGCCTGAATTTGCATAATATAGCCTGCAACATTTGGCAATTAAAATAGGACCATGTGTATAACATATCCTCCAACATTTGGCAATTAAAATAGGACCATGTGCGTAATACCCCAGTTCTCCAGCCAACCACTTGGTGAGCCCTTCAACCCCAAATGTTCTGTTCTGTTTAAGGTTTCTCTGAGTGTCTGTCTGCGGTACATTCATTTACTTTCAATTACCGTGTTCTGCAGTGATTTCAAGCAAAGAGGGCAATTACTCTTTCTGTTAAAGATGTGCTTGCAAAAGAGAACTACCGGTATTGGTTATCAACTATTCAAAATATACTCCAGAAGCTACTCTGTGTGAAACTTTCAGGTTGTGCACTGCATGGTGCCTTAGCGTTAACGCATGACATTTTTATCTGCATCGTGAACTAGAGGCCAATTGCCTCTAACTCCCAAAAGATTTAATTTGTCTGGGGTGACAGCTGAACCACAAGCAATAACAACTCAAATAGTTTGTCATGCTATATATTTTAGCAAAAGAGGAGGAGGAAGAGGAGATGATCAAAATTCAAAAGGACTTTAACAGATTAGAAATTAACAAAATGAGCCAAAACTAATAAAATGAATTTCAACAGGGAGAAATGTCAGGTACTGCATTTAGACAGAAAAAATGAAATGCATAGATAGATATAGGATGGGGGACACCTGGCTTAACAAGATTACACATGAAAGGGATCTAGGAGTCCTAGTAGACCACAAGTTGAACATGAGTCAATAGTGTGATGCAACAGCTAAAAGGCCAACGTGATTCTATGTTGCATCAATAGAAGTATGGTGTCGAGATTGAGATAAGTAATCGGGCTACTCTATTCTGTTTTGGTCAGGCCTCACCTGGAATACTGTATCCAGTTCTGGGCACAATTCAAAAAGGAGCAAGTCCAGAGAAGGGCAACCAAAATGGTGAAGGGTCTGAAAACCATGCCTCATGAGGAGAGACTTAGGGAGCTGGGTATATTTAGACTGGAGAAGAGACAGTTAAGAGGTGATATGAAAACCCTGTATAAGTATTTGAAGGGGAGCATACTGAGGATGGAGCAAGCTTGTTTTCTGCTGCTCCAGAGAATAGGACCTAGAACAATGGATGCAAGCTAAATGGATGCAGGTAAGGGGATTCCACCTAAACATTAGGTGGAATATCTTCCACTTTAGGTAAGTCACGTTTTCTCCCCCTTACAAGAGGCGAATGGCAAATCTTGCCAAGAAAACCGTGTGATAAGTGTGGCTTAGGGCCACCTTAGTAAAAAATTACTTGAAGGCACACAATGACAATAGCAACACAGCTGCCAGAAATCACATTCAGTACCTTGGCTTTTGAGCTTTCATCAGACTTTTCTTGTACAATTCTAATCTTTCTGGCTGAAAATTTGATTTTTTTTTTTAAAAAAAAGAAAGGCAATAGTCTAAATAGATTGAGTTCTAGCAGTGCCACACTTGTAGGGTGAGAATGGAATACATACTGTCCTGATTATGGCAGAAGATGTACTGAACTTGTACTATTGGCAAGAATTTAAAAAAAAGTCTGAGCTGGAACAGCAGGAGGCTATCAAAGACTGCTTTTCTGTTTACATTGCATGGTCTGTGTGCAATGTTTAAGATCTCACATGTGCAAAATAATGCTCAGCTCCATCTTTCATTAGCAAGTTGTAGATGGGGGGAATTCTGCAACTTAAGCATGCTGATCCTTCTAGGAAGACAGATGCATGTCTATGATAGTTTATTGTTTTATGACCCCTTCAACTTCCACCTTCTCTAAGGACGTTATCACACGGGGCAAATCTGCTGGTTAATCCACACAAATCCCAAACAGAAACTGGATTTGTGCCTCACGATTTCACACGACGTCGCACAGAAACTGGACAGAAACTGGTTTATCCAAGATCTTTTGAAATTCAGTAGTTTTGAGGAAGTGCATTTGGAAATTACAGTAATTTCGCATTTACCGTAATGTGAAAAGCAAATGCGCATTTGGGAGCATTTCCCTGCTTTTTTCCATGGTTCCACGGCGAGCATTCCTCTATCTGTGCATGTGCAAGAAGATCATTTCTAGTACATTTTTTAATATAAACTTTTATTATTAAAAGACAAAGAACAATAACAAAACAATGACAACACAAAAACAAAAGCATAAAATTACAAAAACACTAAACTACACAAATGTAATACATAAACAAACATAGCCATACAAAAAACAAACCAGAAAAACTTCCTGAGCAAAGAGAGGATCACTAACCCCATTAAAAAAAACAACACCTCTCTATGCCACTAAACAAATATAAATAAAGCTTAAAACCTAAGGAACTTCAAGATTATTTTATATAAGTACAACAAGTATTTGTTGGGAAAGACAAAGAAAGATTTGGGAGCCCTTAGTTAAATTTTTAGAGGTTAATGACTTCAAAGAGTTGGTGAAAGATTTACTTTGTTAAATGGAAAATGGGGTCTCATTGTATTTCTAGTACATTTACGGGTTTTTCTCACTTGTGTGTGAACGTTAAATGCACTTACTGTAATTTCGCAATTAAGGTAATTATGTGTGAAAGCCATTTGCGGAATCAAGGTTTATTTTCCGTTTATTTTCGGAATGCCTCATTTCCACTTTAGTATCACTTTCTGGCCCATGTGTGATAACGTCCTAAGAGAACACACTTCTTATCTTTTGAGGAATCACCATTATGTTTCTCCTTCTCCTTTTGTCCTCTGACCGGAGCAGCATGACTTTCTAGCACACTGATAAGAAATCTCTGCAAGCATGTAGTAGACTATTTTCTACCTCATTTTCTTTGCAACATGAAGCTTTACCTGTGTATGAATATGCACATGATTTTGTAAGTAAATTTATCTTTTTATATTACTCTAAGAACTTTGTCTTAGTTCTTTATTGGAAGACACATGGGGGCTGGAGATTAAAAGCGGACTAGTTTGTTTTTCCTGATCATGCACCTTCTGCTGTGCTCATTTTGCTGGTGAGATTAAATCAATCTCTTCTATTTTCCTGAGCTTTCTAACAAATCTCAAGGAAAAAAGATCCATCAGTAGACTCTTGTATCTCAGCAATTTGTTTCATACAATAGATTACAAACCAAGCCACCCCACAGAGAGTGCGAGGGAAAAGCTGAATAAAATGGGTATATTAGGGCACAAAATAAAGTAGGAAAAGATTAAGAGACATTTTGAAGGTATGTGTTTATATTTTGAAGTCTGCCAAAAGAAAATGCAGAACATATATCTATGAAGAGAAGGATAAGAAAAGATGGAAAATATGGTAAGTGAATTCAGAAAAACATTAGACCAATGCTTTAAGCTGGGAAAAATGAATTGCCTTTAAACGTTTTCAGAAAATATCTGCTAGAAAGATGGTTAGACCATACAACCAATAAGTTTATTTCAGAAAAATGGGGTGGGCTATGGAGAAATATAGTTTCCAGAGGCACAGCTGACAAGGGTAAAATGTGACTGTTTCATAAAGATCAAATAGACAGGACATATTGTTAAGAACAAAAACAACTTTCAGGCCTTGTATCGCATATTTTAGTGCAAATATTAAGACACAAATAGTGTTTGTGTTTATTTGGGCTTTTCTTCTCCCTGGGTAATTTGTCAGCCCTTTCGGAATGCCTATGTTATATCCAGGCAATATATTTCTTTTGAATAACAGCCATTTGGTATGTGAAACAAGTGGGTTGGCCAAAAATGAAATACACCCTCCCTAAATTGTGCCATTAAATTAAAAGATCAGGGCTGAATTTGGGATAAAGTGAAGCATCTACGACAGGGGTAGGCAACCTTTCCCCTTTAAGGGCCGAGGGACTTCAGCTCCCAGAATCCCAGGAGCTATTGGCCAACATGGGACTATTGGCCAACATGGCTGAGGCTTCTGGGAGCTGAAGTCCCTCGGCCCTTAAAGGGGAAAGGTTGCCTATCCCTGATCTACGACTTTGCTTCATGTGTGACCAGTTTTGCAGTTCACCTTGTAAATACATAATCTGCCTACATGGTATGTGTTGTCAGATGTGAAGTGTGAATGAGTGGAAAAACTAATTTTATACTTCTAATTTGTAATTACTTTTAACTACTGTATATACAGTTTCCCCTCCCAATTTGCAGGGGATCAGTTCCGATTCCCCCTGTGAAAATGGTGGCTTGCAAATATTCGCATCCAATTTAAACTAATGTGCGCAGCCATTTACAGTGTAGCCCTTGTCCCTCTCCACAAAGAGTGAGACTGTGGACTCAAAGTCCGCAAATAGGGAGGGACAACTGTACCAATGTATAAGTCTAGAAATTTTAGTCAAAAAACCAACCCCGAAAATCTAGGTCAACTTATCCATGTTAGTTCTGTATCAACTCTTAGGACCTTATCACACGGGGTCCAAAGCAGACAGAATCCAAAAGAAATCCTGACCTAATACGTATTATTTTTCCGTGTGTTCACACGACGTCTCACAGAACCGCACAGAACCCTGACAGAACCCTGAACGAATCCGAAACGAATTGAGA